CGACGTAAGGATTAGTGGTGAACACTACATATATAACTAATATAAAACTACAAGTAAATGACTGATAAACAATCATGCTCAGATAATGTAGACACCAACTAATTTTTTTTAAATTGTAGCTAAAATTGGGAGAGTGCATGTAAAAAAAATTTTAACATTCTTAGTAGTAATTATATTGGTGGCATATAATGTTAAAGTCAATAATTATGGAATATCCTAAATCTACTATGCCCTTAAGAACCAGGATTTTTGGTGTGGAAGAAGTAATAAAAGCCCTGAAGTCCTAATTTTGAATTTGAAGTATCAATATGAATCATGAAGTATTTTATCTCGTTCTGTCCATTGAAGGGGCTAGAACAGTGATGGCGAACTTTTGAGCTCGGCGTGTCAGCATTTTGAAAAACCCCAATTAAACTCTGGTGCCGTGTCACATATAGAAATTTTTTGATATTTGCAACCATAGTAAAACAAAGACTTATAATTGTGATATTTATTTTATATATTTAAATGCCATTTAACAAAGAAAAATCAACCAAAAAAATGAGTTCACGTGTCACCTCTGACATGCGTGTCATAGGTTCGCCATGACTGGGCTAGAATGACCAACTCAACATAATAAGCATCTCTAGCACCCAGATTGTAGTCTTTAAGCTCTATTTTCCACTAAAAGAAGACAGGGCTTCTTTAAGAAATGGCTGATTCCAGGTCTGGGGCTGGAAATAAACTTAGAACATATTCTCATACCAGAGATAAGGATTCTATCAAAGATTATTATGCTCAAGTCAAAAGACTCTAAAATCAATTAGAAGAGGCTCCCACTGGCCAAAGAGACAATTTGATTATCAACAAGAATAACTGCAACTAAAACCCATCAAATTATTTATATCATTATTAAAACCACCACGTTTCTGTTTATTCAGCCCTTATTAAGTTAGAAACTGTAACCTTTGGAAAAGTGTCGCTCCATTTTCAGAAGAAAGTAACCTTTCAACATAAAAGTAATAGTTTTCAAATTGCCAAAAACAACCTGGGGGTTGTTACGGATAGACAAATAAGAAGATATCTCCCTCTTCATAACAGTTTGGTACACCATGTTTTGGCATCTTCCCCAACTTCCTACAACAGATGTTCACAGGTAGTTTTTCCAAAGCTTTTTAATTTTCCACCAACCTCCTCCTCAGTAAGAACCTGTACTTATAATACTAAGATCTCTCTAAAGCAAAAAACACAAAGGTCAAATCAACTAAAAAAAAAAAGAATAGCCTAGGCCAGTGGTTGGCAAACTGCGGCTCACAAGCCACATGTGGCTCTTTGGCCCCTTGAGTGTGGCCACAAAGTTTCAATCGCACTGTACGTGAGCGCTTGCACGTGGTACTTTGTGGAAGAGACACACTCAAGGGGCCACAGTTTGCTGACTGATTTTCATTCTATGAACAAAGTTTGTAATATTTCTTTTGTTAATGATGCACCTTATTGAGAATAAAAACAGAACTATAGAATTCTTATCTTAAGCAACTCATCCATCCTAAAACATGAGACCTGACTTCCTGTTCTTTACATTTTCATTTTATGTTATAACCTTAGAAGTTAGACAAAGCTCAGTTTAGCCATAAATGACAGAAACAGCAAATTTCAGTATTAAAAGTTAAGGCATACTCATGTTGATTTAAAAAATAACAACAAAGACTAAATGTATAATAAAGCTAAATGTATAAACATCAGTTGCTTAAATGATAAATTTAAAAAAATGTTTCCATACTCAATAGACAACCTACCACTACCAATCATCCTATCCTATACAATAAAAGCCTAATATACTAAGTGTCTGGTCAGCCATTCAACCAATTGAAGCGTAATATGTTAATGTATGCTAAGGCCGCTCAACCGCCCACTATGACATGCACTGACCACCAGCAGGCAGGCTGCCGACCAATTGACCAGTTGCTATGATGTGCACTGACCACCAGGGGGCAGACACTGACTGGTAGACTGGTAGGTTAGGCTGCTGCTGGGGTCCAGCCCATCAGGACTGAGACAGGCTGGACACGCCCTGGAGCCCTCCTGTGGTCCCTCCCCGGCCCTAATAATGCACCGGTGGGGTCCCTCGGCCTTGCCTGCGCCCTCTCACAATCCAGGCTGAGGGACACCCCCTTCGAGTGCACAGATTTCGTGAACTGGGCCTCTAGACTATATATGTTAAAGCCTAATATGCAAAGCGTCTCCTCGGGAGTTTGACCGAATGGGAGTTTGATCGCTTACTATGAAGTGTGCTGACCATCAGGGGGCGGCGCAGAACGAAAGAAGGCCCCGGCCGGCGGCTGCTAGGGACCCTACCCGTGCACGAATTTTGTGCACTGGGCCTCTAGTTTTAATACAAAACACTCTTAAAATAAATGTACAAATACCTAATAGGGATGGCAGAGACACGTTGTTTAAGTCCTCTAATAAGAACAAAATAATTGTCTAGAAACATCAGGTTAAATTTATCTAGCCACTTGGTAATCCAGTCAGGATATTACAAAGCTGTATTTTAGAAACTTTCAATTGTTTATACATTTATGGCCAATGTATTTTATCAAAAAGGGAAGGCAGTTTGTACAGACCTGATAAGCAGAATAATGGGAGAGGTTTTAAAGTATTTATCTCCAAATAGTTTAACATAATCTTGTGTATCAAAACTCTGAAAATAAAAAAATACTTTTTGTAGAAAGGGGTAAGTATACACCAAACAGCGACTTGAAAGAAATAGTGGCAATCTAAGCATTTATGATTTAGACATCAATTTATTTTTGAAACCGGACATGTACTCATTTTTAAGCTTATCTATATGGCCACCAGTCAGTTATTTTGAAATTTTTTAGAGATTATGACTTTTTTCCCCCAAAACCTAAATGATTCCATTTTTTAAATGCAACAAATATAACTATAAAACTGAACAACACAACATAATCACAGTCCTAACACACTGCGGACCAGTAGTGTTATTGCTGGCTTTACCCAGTGGCCAGATACGTTTCTACTGAATGAGTACAAAAAACATTTTACGTAAATGTTAAAGGCACGCTTTAAAATTAAATACCCATTGCATTTTGAATTTATTACATGTTCTTACAAGCTAATATCATTTTAAAGAATTCTTGAGATTGGCCACAAGCCTTAGAAAACATGAGAATTCTCGTGATCCGTCCGCAATGTGTTAAGTTGGCTGGTAATTTTAATAAAGCATTAAGGAGGTTCAGCTTGTGCATATTACCACTAAAGCAACGAGTTTTTTCTTCTTCAAAAAATTAGGCTAGTTAATGCCTAGCTCACTGGTCAGCAAACCACAGCTCACGAGCCACATGCGGCTCTTTGGCCCCTTGAGTGTGGCTCTTCCACAAAATACCACGTGCGGGAGTGCACGTACAGTGCGACTGAAACTTCGTGGCCCATGCGCAGAAGTCGGTTTTCAGCCTGGGTGAGTCTATTTTGAAGAAGTGGTGTTAGAAGTGAGGGGGTGTCGATCAGTAGGGAGACGTGGCACGGGGGAGGTGCGTGAGTCATGCACGAGTTGAGTGAGCCAGTCAGTCAGCAGTCTCATGTGCAGTGGTTAGTGCTAGTCGCGCCCGCAAATTGCACGCGGGTGACAAAAGTAAAGTTTGCTGACCACTGCCCTAGCTGGTTTGGCTAATTGGATAGTGTCAGCCTGTAGACTGAAGGATCCCGGGTTCGATTCCAATTGGGGGCACATGCCTGGGTTGTGGGCTTGGTCTCCAGAAGGGGGGCATACAGGAGGCAGCCAATCAGTGATTCTCTCCCATCACTGATGTTTCTATCTCTCTCTCCTCCCTTCCTCTCTGAAATCAATAAAAATATAGTTTAAAAAAATGTAATTAGGCTAGTTAAGATTACACTACAACCATAAAGCAAATCTTGTAACAAGCATCCTCCTATATAATAAAAGGCTAATATGCAAACTGTCCCCTGGAGCAGGAGTTCCACCAGGGGGCAGGGTTGGCTGGCCAACTTCCTGCGTCCCCTCTCCCCCGCTGGCCCCACCCCTGGTCACCCCCAATCAGGGCACCCAGTCGGACCCCACCTGCACACAAATTCGTGCACTGAGCCTCTAGTTTGTTAATAAAGCCAAAGAAAATATTCACCACTTGTTGAAGCTTACATTCTTATAGTATAGACTTCAAAAAGAAAATTTTAAAATAGGCAAGAAGTAGGGGAGCCCAGAGAAATTCCACTTATTAACCCTGCACCCAAAGAAACCTTTCTCCCTCCAGTTCCCCACTCCCTATCCAAAGACAAAACGACAGGAAAGTTACCCAAACTACACTGCTCTCTAGGAATTAACTTTGACAGAGTGTGAAAACAATTTCTGGTAACCAAATACACAACAATGCAATGAAATGTTCCTTTTGAAAACAGAACTAACTTCATTGTACAAGTTTCAGATTTACAACATTTGGAAACAAGCCTAATAAAATGCTGAGCAGATATAACAAGTTATCTATGCTATAAAGTTTACAGGACACTCAAAACTATAGCATCTGGAATCTGCCAGATTTATCACTCTGGTTTCTGAAGAGAATATATAGAACTGACACCTTAAATACCCACATACATAAATATGACAACAAAGCTTGGATGTAGGACGATATGAGAAAATACCACCAACAAAAGAATGTGAAATAGAATCAAGCCACAAAATCCTGGAAATAAGCCTGTTATGGCCAAAAAAGGGTCATAAACGGAATACCCATCCTCCCTTCCTCTGGCTCTTTCAGACAACTAAGTTTTCCAAATGTACCAAAGCATAAGATACATTTTAAAAAGTTTAACAAATTTTTTAAATTCATTACAAATCATGCATAAAGTATATATGCACTAAATAACTGCTTTAAATGACTAGGGCTCTCACAGATTCAGTTCTTTTGAAATACACTTTTTCCCCCTTTCCCAAACAATTCTGAATGATACATCAGTCCATAACAAGGTATATGTTTTCAACTCACATTGTTTCTCCAGTCTTGGCCACGTGACAAAGAAATTGATCCAGGACCGGACAAACTTCCTTTTTCCCCCTCTTCTCAAAATCTAGGTAAGGGAAGAAAGAACAGTTATCAGTATTCCTCATCAGCCCACCAACCATTTCCAATGCCCTCTAAAAACAAAGTTTCTTTCCAGTCCTTCCTCTTATTAAGAACAAAGGAAAAAAAAATAGCCTCTCAGCCAAATAGCCACTTCAACTCTCCTCGCTGTACTTCCATGTAACAATTGCCTGAAGAGGGCACTCACTTCACAAACCATCCTTAACTCAATGTTTCTCAAAGTGTGTTCCGGGGAACAACAGCAGGAGCTCCATCTGAAAATCCGATTGAAATTAATGTCCAAGGACCCAAGGCATTGTTTACCCAACTGCAGTTCAAACATCTGCATTCGAGGAAACCCCAGCCATCTCGCGCAGCTGTCCCCAAATGATTCCGGGGACCAGAGCACAACTCTCCAAAGGCTGCCATCTCTCTGCTGTTAGAAAACCACTGTTCTCAAACCTGTTGCTCGGAAGCCGACCGACCACCTTAGGATCAGGAGGGAATGGTGACTCCAGAAGCTCTGAATTTCCTGAGACACAAATTTAAAGTTGCTCCCCGTACCCCCAAACCTTTGCTTTTTCCTCTAACTCGACGCCAGGCGTGCGGGGCCTGGCGAGAACTGAGCCAGTGCCCGGAGCAGCGGGACCGGATCAGGGCTCCGGCGCGAGCTC